CCAGTACTCTTTCCTGCCATGGCAGGGGGTCAGACTTGATCTGGTCAGGTCCCTTCCAGCCCTACCAACTATGAAACTATCTGCTAGTGATAGTTGTATACAACAGACTAAGGATCAGATTTATTAATATCCTTTTAGTTTCATTAGAGAAAATGTTCCAGTTTGTTTTTTTTTAAAAGGAGATTTGGTCTCTGACAGTACTGATGAGGAAAGGTGGAGCCATCAAATACAATAGTCTTATTGGTATTGTGCCTCAAAACTTTCTGTTGCAAATGCTTTTGTTCAGTGTGTAAAATGCTTGTCAGTGATTCCCAGACTTTCTTCAGGCAACGGATGATTGTTAACCCTCAAAAGTTCTTACAGAACATCATGCACCCCTAACCTTGGGGCTGCCCTAAATAGTCTCTTGCCTGCTGCTGTGGGAAGGGGAAGCACCATGCCTCCCAAATCCCACTCCTACCTGGGAGAGGGACATCCCCAAAACAATCCTTTACTTTCCATAGTTGTTTTCATGTGTACAGTGGGGACCCATCTGGAACTTCAGGTCATGTGGTGGGGAAAAAAGGCTACAAATTCTTTCAGAATTTGCTCATAAAATAAGTAATTTCCATCTGTCCTAACCTGTCATTCCCCCCACTCAGCTATGACAGGTGACTACGTTTATTTGATAAGCATATTGTCAAGTTCTAGCTATTCTCAGAATTTTAAAAGGCATCTCTGCTCTGAGGTGTACAGGCAAAGGCTGCAGCTGAAATTGTTCTCACTGTGTGAGTCTTAATGCTGTATTTTTCAAATGTATGACTAGAGTGTGAGATGATCTTGTCAGTGCTATTTGTCTGGTGATATAGCTGTGTCAGGATAGAGAATATGTTGGACCATTCATGTACAGGGTGTCTTAAGGCATTAGCAGGATTATCTCCCATTTCCTTCCCTAGCTGCTTTGCTGTGTATTTTCAGAATGCTTCAGGGTCTTAATGTCGTGTTGAAATAGCACCAAAAAATGACATAGTAGTTATTTCTGTTTCTCGTTACTATCCTTCTCCTGTGTTTGTTTCTGTGAGAGAGAGAGATTTGTATCTCTCATGCAGCTCTGTGTGTGTGTGTGTGTGTGTGTGCATTCGTAATAAAGCTGCTTCAGCTTTATACACACACATCTACATAACTTTACACACGTGTACACAAAAAATAAAATATGGAAGGTCTCTTCTTGATGGGACACTGTTCTGGCTGAAGCTTACGGAATTGGGAGCAAGGCTTTAAAACTCTGCCTTCATATTTCCAATAAGGCCCCTGCCACATGTTACACTTAAGACATGATTAACCAGTTAATCATGTCTTAAGTCATAACCTAGCCACACGTTAAAGCAGTTAATGGCATCATAGAACAAGGACTAAGCCACAAAGGTATTACACATTTTTTGTGGAATAACTTTGTGGCTGGTCCCTACCATGCTGTTAATTGAACATGTGGCCAGGTGCATCCTTGCAACTGGGAGCCCTGTCAGCTGATCTGGGCTTCCAGCTGCTGGGGTGCATCATTCAGGACTCTTAGACATGGGAGCACATGGTGTGCACCCCTGTAGCTGGAAGCCCAGATCCAGGAGCCCGTGGTGCACTGCTGCAGCTGGGAGCCCTGTCAGCTGATGGGGCTCCTAGCTGTGGCACCTTGCTACTTGCTGGTGCAGGGGGAGCTCAGGATAGCGATCCCATGCTCTTTCTGCATCAGCAGTAAGGTGTGATGGGATCTGATGCTCAATTTCATAATTGCACCTTGGGTTTGTGTGGTTTATGCATCCAATCCTATCACGCCTTTCCCTGCACATCTAGCGGGGGCCTAAGTGTTACCAGTTTTCTGTCTTTGAAATCAGTATTATGGGATAGGACTAGGAGTAGACACAGTATCAATGGTATCTAATATTGTATTGCTTATGTAGCAACATAAAGATTATCATAAATGTTCACTTCTTAAAATACTTTTGCTGTTTCATTAGTCTCTTCCTTAATTTATCTAAGTATTTCTGAATAAAATGTCACCTAGGAAACTCTTGAATATCCATTGAAATGTAAGAGCTGAGAGCTTTCTCTAGAAGTACCCCAGGAAGTAACTCCCTTTCCTCTTGTAAGTAGTAGCAGGAACATCTTGCTCAAAAGAGTTTAATCAGTGTAAGAAATCTACAGTGTCCAGTCTACCATCTTGAACAGTCTAGATCAGATGTTTACCATACTTCATCATGCCAGGAATATTAGCCTTTAATTAAAAAGTAGTAATGACCATTTTAAGGTTTACATTATTAAACAAGAAGCCAAAGTGTGGTAATCTGGCTTGCCTCAAGCTAATTTATCAGAAACTGTGTTCAGCACCACCTACACTGTTCTTATAACAGCCTTTTGATTTGTGCCGTCTGTATAAAAATATGTACTGTTTCTGTTTCCTTCCCTAGGCTTGCTTGTATGGGAAAGCTGGCACAAAGAGAGTTAGGATCTGGATTTACAGTGTATTTGCTATTCCACTCTAATTCCTTATTTGGGGCATCTTAATCTAGTCACTCTTGCTGCAGATTAAGATTGACCCACCACTGTGACTAGACTAAGGTGACTAATAAGCATGTATTAGCAAATGTAGTATAAACTAATACCAGAGCTCAGTAAGTCCATATATGAATCCTAGCATGATAAGCAAGAATGCTTTGTAGTACCACAGTCGTCAAATATAGTTTCTAAGGCTGAATGCTTAAAGTATAAAGATGTAAGAGTGATGTGTCTCCTTTGATTTTTTTATTGCTTGGGTACAGCTGCCATTACGTTCATGTGTGACAAGCGATGTAACAAGAAGCGATCATGTGGACGACACAAATGTAATGAGATTTGCTGTGTGGTAAGTTTGTATATGAAGTATTAAGAAATCATTCAGTGTAGAGTATTCTTATGGTTTTCATTATTTTGAAAATAAATAAAAAGGCTGCTCAGTCACCCTGTTTGTAACTGTACTGTAAAATAAACATTTGTACTTTATGCTTTGCCCAAAGCATTTTCATTCTTAATGTTGCAAGCACAACATTTTACGTGTTAGTCTCAGACTAATGGAAAGCTGCAGTAGCTATGGTAGTCTGAAGTTAATTGAATTCATCTAGCATACAGGTAAAATATATTGATAATAGTATCATATAGACACCTGGGAAGGACACTCTAGACAATTCCACTGTGACTCTAAATTAATTCCACTGTGACTAACACTTTCCACCCCTCCATCAAACTGACTCTTGAATTACCCCAGCATATTTGTTTCTTGGACACCACTGAAACTATGCAATGGTCAGGTCGCCACCACAGCCACATTATATCAGAAACCAGCTGACTCTTGCATCTACCTCCACACCATCAGTTTTCATCTAAAGTGCACCACTAACTCGATTGTCTACAGCTAAATTCAAAGGAAACCTATACACATGACAGACCTCTCATCCAATGTGTGCTAATTAGCATGTGTCTGCTGATTAGCATACTCCAGCAGCCTCTCGGTCACATGTATTCAGCATCCCCGCATTTCAAAGTGGTAGTGGGGGTACTTTAACTAAAGCTTGTCGAATGAGCTTTAGTTTAAAGTGCCCCAGCTGCCATTTTGAAGTGTGGGACTCTGAATACATGTGATGCTGTGAGCGCTTTTATTAGAGTGGCTTTCAGAGTTGCTCTAATCAAAGTGCCCCCCACCCCGCCTCCCAATCCACAACGGAGCACATATATAGACACCCCAAGTTACAGTTGTATCTTCTGATCCCACCAACATGAATCTTAGGGATCTGGAGCAGGGATTCCTGCACTTAAAATGGAATCCCAAAACCATAGCCACCTGGATCAAGCCATGCTCAGACCCTGCTCTGACTTACTACAATTCCAACCCCTAAGAAGGACAGCAGTATCCCTCTTGTCATGTACAACCCTCAGTTTGAACACCTTGAATACACCACTAATGACCTCCTGGAAAATGATGACCATCTCAAG